ATGGTGGACCAAATTTGTATCAGTTTTGACAGGTTATCAGGTTTGAAGGGTAAAATTACTATATTTAATTAAGAGATGGCGGATCAATTTTTTATCAGTTTTGACAGGTTATACTGTACATTAGTAAATAATTCATGAAAAACATAAATAGTTTATTAAAGATTCTCAATTTTACCGTATCATTTTTCCATATATGTGTATGTGGTGTAATTATTCGTGTGAATGTTGATTGGATTGTGTCGACTTTGTGCTGTAGGTGGTTTAGATTGTTCAACTTTTTTGTAGTTTGTGATGTCTTTCTGCAGAAGATTTTCGGACAAAATTTCCTCCTAATTCCAAGAAAGGAAATTTTCATCCGTCATTTTTGTAATACTTATGGATTCATAATAGCGAGTACAAGTGCAAGTACAAGTGAAGGTACAGTGAAGGTACAAGAAGAATTATTTGCTTTCGTTTTAAAAAAAAAAAAAAAAAAAAATCACGATCCAATGCAAATAGTAATGAAAGGGCTTCACATTTACCATTTTTTTGGCCTTTGTCTAGATTCAAAGGTGTGTTTTGGCGGTTTTTTGTTTTTTTTTTGCCAGATTTTTTACAGAGTAGATGAATTGATAATCATTGATCATCAAAGACCAGATAAATATTCATTCGCAGCGAAGATTTTGCTGACCTTTTTTGTTAACTTTGACTTTTGTCATCATCATTATTAAAAAAATAAAAATAAAAAATTGAGAAACCCTGAGTTCCTACTTGAAAACTGGTAAAACCTGCTGTGTCGATCTCAATCCCATATGATGATTATACCAAATTTGCATTTTTTTTTTTTATCTACATACTTGTATTTATTTTTTTTTTTATATATTTAATAATAAAGATTCTCGATTTTACCATATCATTTTTTCCATGTATGTGTATTTGATGCAATTATTATTTTATCTATTATAATTATAAAAAATAATTATAAAAAAAAATTATAATTGGATATACGTTAAACACTCAAATACTTCATGACCCGCGAAGATAATCCAATCGATATCTAAATCTAGTATGTATATAAATAAATTAAATTAATTAGATAAATGATCTTAGCCTTGTGACTATTTTATTTGCATACTTCGAAAATTACATCCTTTTAAAAATGATTTTTTGCTGTCCTGAAAAAATAATTTCTATAATAAAAAACCATCTTCACACCATATAATATGGACTACCGTCAATAGAAATCAAGGAGATTGACATTCTAAAAAAAAATCAATATCATAGCTTTTATAGCTCATATCTCAGTAAATTTTAAAGTAAACTTTATAAACTAATGTTAAAAAGATATTCTACTGTAGATACTATTTCGTTAGAAGTTTCACTAAGATATAAACTATAAAAAGCTAAGGTATTAATTTTTTTTAAGACATTAATCCCCTTGATTTCTATTGATGGCAACCCATTACATCGGCTAATTTTATAACAAAAATTAGACTTGAAATAACATGTATAAGCGTATTTGAATAATGTGCAAATGATCAAAATAATGTGTATATACTCATTATATACTCGTTATCTCAAACTTTTTGAAAAGACCAAAAAAAACGTGTTTTCAAAAAAGGCTTCCTGATTAAATAATCAAAGATATTATATTCCCATACCGATATTAAATCGTGAATTGTATAAATTGATATTTTTTCATATTAAAAATCATAATAAATTATATGAATTTAATAAATAGTCATATTTTTTTCCTCATTCATTTTTTCTTCAATTCTCTCAAAACAAAACAAAATCAAAAAAAAATATCTGCTTCTGTAACTATATTATACTATAAGATGAGTTACCAAACAAAATTAGTTCCTAATAAAAGTCTTTCAATTGTCAAAGCTTCGGGTATTGTAAGATCCCAAAGTCTAGACTCTCTTTTGAATGTTATTTTAACTAGATTTTATTACTATGATACTATTCAAGAATTAAACTTACCTGAATTTGAAAATAAAAATGTAGTGCTTGCTACTGGAAATTTTTGTATCGTTGAAGGCACTGACCAAAATAATAAAAAATATCCTATTTTAAAAGTATAAATTACTATCATTATGAATATAAAAAATTTAATCGATAAATAAATAAACTGTTGTTGATAGAAATCAAACAAATTATATTTTAAAACTTTCATAAATCATATCTCGATAAATTCTAAGCTATTTTAATAATTCGATATTCAAAAAAAAAAGAATCTTGGAATTTAAACTTTATTTTGAATATTAATAAATCATCGACTAGCTTCAAAATCTATCAAGATATCGACTACGAAAGTTAAAAAAATAAATATTTTTTAAAATATAATCTGCCTAATTTTTATTAATAATAGTTTAGGTTAATTTTTTTTTTCTTTTATTAAAAAAGATTACCTTGAATGATGTTGTTCATTTTGATACTCTTGATCCTAACAATTTATCTGCATTCCCGATATTAATTAACATGATGGCATTGGTTTAAGAAGATCCAGAAATCGATAACAAAGATGTAATCATTAATGTTTTGACTAAAAATTATATCGATCAAATTTATAATAATCTTAAATTAACGTGCTATCATCCTACTTTTGCGCAATATTTAATGAATACAACAGCTGTTATAAAGAAAGATTTTGTAAACTATATTAATAGGGAACTCATGATTACTAATGATAATAACATAGTTCATATATGAAATGTTTTGTTTTCAGAATACCAAAAATTAAATATGATTACAAAAAGCAGCTCAATGCAATTTAAATAGGAATCAAAAGATCAGAATAATACAAATCAGCAAAATGCCCTACTATTGCTCAAACTATAGCCACAAGAGTCAAAGGATGCACCCGACGTAAAAAAACTACACCTAACCCTAAACCATATCTTAAAACAATTCTCATCTAAAAGTTACTAATTTGGCAAATGACCTTTTAAACAAACTTTCAAATTCAAACACACCTAATCAAACTGTTACTAAATAGATAAATATATTATTATTTATGCATGTGTTAGTATATACTTATCTTAAAATCATTTATCTTATTTTTTTTTTCTTCTTACATAAATAACAATTAATATTCGATACCTTTAAATACTATAAATATTCGTATTAGTGTTTTTTTCTTCAAACAGTTTTTTTGTTTTTTTTTTTTTTGATATTAAAGTAAGGTCTTGCTTATATCTTTATTGATTAATTTATATAAGCAATTACATAGTTATAAAAGCTTAATTTGTACAAAAACAAATAA